GCGGGTGGCCCGGCACCAGAAATTAGCAGTGGCCACGGCAATGCAGAATTCCAGGATGGTGAAGGTGAGCAGCACGATGGAAATCCCATTCCCTGCGAGCTCCAAGATGGGGAAAACCCCATCAGTGACACCCAGCAGCACGAAGCCCACACAGGGCAGCATTCTGTGGCTCCTCCTTCCTCTCCCTCTGCGTCCCCAGCTCCAAAAGCCTCACTCCAAGCCCTCCATCCCGCCGTTTTTATGGCTCATGGATGCTTCCAGGGGGTGACTCATCTCCCGAGGTACCAGCCCAAAATAGGTCGTGCCGGCAGAGGAGAAACCGCCACCCCAACAGGGATTTAGGAAAAGGCACAACACCCCCTGAGGGTTGGAGAAAAGGCCCGAGGGAGGTTCCCAGGGGGCCAGAATTCCACCAAGTGGGATTTTACCAGGACGAGATCGGTGTAGTAGGTGGAGCGGTAGAGCCCGTTGAGGTTGAGGTCCACGATGAAGGCCACGATTCCCAGGAGTGCAAAGATGGCACTGATGACGTTCATGGTCTGGCTGCCCTTCACCTGCGGGCACCCAGGGGGCTCTGGGGGGGGGGGGTGGCAGACCCCCCCCAGAATCCCAGAGAGACACCCCACCTACCCCATGGGATCACTCCTGGTGTGCTCCCGGGAAAACTCACCGCACATTCCGTGGGGCTCTTCTCGGCGCCGATGGAGAGGCACCCGGAGATGATGAACTGCAGTGGGAGAGACGGGGCTCAGCTGGCACGGAGGGCGCCCCAAACTCGCCCAGAGGTGGCGCTTAGAGGGCATAGTGACCTCCCTGCCCTTGTTTTCCATCTGCCGAGGCCTTGGGAGCTGCAGGTGCATCATTCCCGGTGGGCATCCCTTCCAATGGGTGTCCCACCTGCTGGCATCCCCCCCCCCAGCAGGATTCCTTTCACTGTGGGCACTGTTCCCTGGTGAGATTCCCTCCCCCCTGAGCATTCTTTCCCGCTGGGTATCCCTCTTCAGTGGGCATCTTTTCCCACTGGGAATCCCTTCCCAGCCCCTCGGCACGCACCGACACGCCGCCCAGGAAGGGGATCTCTCCGATGACGAAGACAGAGGTGTAGACATTGGTGAGCGTGGTCAGGACGATCCCGAAGCCGATGTGCAGGAATCCCGTCATAATCTGGATAGTCTGGGAGAGCAGGATGGATGGGACTGGGGTCAACTCAATCCCCCCGCCCACAGAGCCACCCTGGAAATTTGGGATGCCTTAATCCCAGCGCCTCTCCAGAGACACAGCATTCCCTGAGGGATCACCAGAAATCCCTCGGGAATGCGCTGAGAGGGGATTTTCCAGGGGTTTCTCCCCCCGACCCCCCCAAAACTCACCCCCATGACGCGGTTCTTGCCCTTGGGGAGGGTCTCCGCCGTGTACATGACGGCGCGGCTGCCCAGCCGGAGGCTCCCCATGCCCTGCATGAGGAGAGCGGGGGGCACCGGGACCCCCGGAGCAGCCCCGGTCCCCACCGGGGCCGCCCCCGCCCCACCCCGCCACAGCACACGCCCATTGGCTGAGACCCGTGACGTCAGCGGCTGCGGCATCCCTCCCCGGGGCACCGCCCAGCCCACGGGGGGACACGGGGGGATGGAGGGGACAGCCCCCCAAAACCCGGGGAGGGGCGGGAGGTAGGGCTGCGTGGGGTGGGAAGATGCTCCATGGGGATGGCTGCGTGGGGTGAGGGGAAATTCCCAGTGTTGCCCCCCCGCCCCATTCCCGGCAGGGCTCCAGGACACCGTGTTCCCGCCGGGAAGAGCTGCTCATCCCAAACCCACATGCAAGGGAGTTAAGGAAATCGGGGTGCCAGCCTTCCCCCGAAAGCTGCGTGTCCCCCCATCATTCCCACTCCTTCCAGCTCCACGCCGTGTTTACAGGACAGCAGAAAGAAAAAAAAAAAAAAAAAAAGAAAAAAAAAAAAAAAAAAAAAAAAAAAAAAAAAAAAGAGAAAAAGAAAAAAAAAAAAAAAAAGCCAAACCACCAAAACAAAACCACCCCGCAGCGAATTCCTGGAAGAAAAATCCATCAAGGGCCATTAGGCTCCTGCGGCTCCTCCCCGCAGAGCGGGGGGCACGGGCGGGTGGGCGGCACCCAGGAGCAGAGCTGGGCACTGCCCAGCCATGATTTCCCCTGGATGTCCTTCCCTGGGAAGGGGTGGGCCTGAATATCCTGGATCTGCGCCCTGTTGCAGGGGAAAGGGGGAATAGAGGGGATCCCCCACACTTTCCCCCCAGACTGTCTTCATTTTCCATTTTTAGGGTGTCCAGCCCCGAGGAGAAGGAGCCAAGAGCTTCAGGCAGAGGATTAAACCTGAAATCAGGGAATAATGAACACCCCAGGAATGAGAGGGGCAAACGATACCACCCTGCACCCCAAAATTCATGGAGGACACCTCTATACCCCATCCTGATCCGGCCAACACCACACCCCCCTGCTTGGAATTCCTCATGGAGAGATCCCATCATGGGATTTGCAGGGCCCAGGGACTCAGAGCTGCAGATCCTGAGAGGAATCTGGGGCTCTGGGAGAGACTCCCCACTTCCCTGGAGCAGTAACATTCCACAGGGAGGGAATGCCACAGCCACGAGCCCTGTGGCCAAGTGGAGGACATTCCCATGCTGGATGCTGTCCAAGAGGAGCTGTGGATTTGGGCTGGGGGTGTCACCCAGCTCAGAGCAGGTGGCAGAAAACCCATGAGGCTGGCAGGGTCCCCTTACTCCCACCCTACACCCATCTCCTTCAGGGACACACGGTGTCCTCCCCATTCCTCACCTCCAGAGCGGTCCCACAGCTCAGAAACAGATGCTTCAGGTGGTGTCTATCCCTGCCAGGTCACCCCACAGCCAGGCCCCAGGCTTAGATCCCCAGTGGTCACTCAGCACAGAGAGCCACACGCGGTCACTAGTGACAGAGACTGGCATGGTGAGCACAAGCAGGGCTGTGACAGGGATTTGGGGACCCCCATTGTCCTTCCCCACCATGCTCAGAGCAGGGGGACCCACCTGGGGGTCACTTCCCCTTCCCTCTCCCCAGGGAGGGCAGCCAGATCCCCTAAACACCCAGAGCATCCTACAAAGAAGCTGAGGCTGCAAGGAACAGCACAAAGCATGTTCCCCTGAGAGCCTCCATCGGGACAGAAAGGGAAAAAGGGAGAGGACATCTCCCAACATTGGCTTTAACACCCGGGAGGAGGATGGTGGCTGCGGGTCTCCCAAGGGGAAGCTGGATGGGGCGGGCCTACCATTTGCACCCACCTGGGGCTCGCTTCCAGAGTCTCCCAGGGATTTGACCGTGGACACTCATCCCACCTGGAAATATGGATTGTCCCATGGGACACTGCAAAGTTCCTGAGGATGGCATCCAAAACACTCATGTGTGATCCACAGTATTCCCATCCATAATCCAAACCCAACTACTGGGAAAAAAGGAACCCTCTCCCGGCCCAAACTCCGTTCTTTGGGGAAATGCTGATTTATTTAAAACCAAGCATCCTCAGAAGTATCTGAGCTGCCAATAGGAGCCTCATCTGGCTTGGAGGAGCTCCTCGGAGATGGGGGAACTCCAACTCCCTTTGCCTCTGGAGGATCTTCTTTGACTCCAAGCGCCGGGCGTTCCCCTTTGGCTTCGCTGCCATGCTGTGGGAGCTGTGGGTTGGTGACCCGTGGCTCCAGGACGCTTCCTGCTGTGCCACTTTCTGCTGGGAACTCCTCACTGGAGCAGGCCGGGCTCCTAGTTTGACTTCCAGGTTCTTCTTGGCCACGTGCATCTTCAGGGCTGAGCGGGCTCCGCTGATATCCGTGGATCTGCTGGAGCACGGAGAGCTGTCTGTGGCATTTTCTCCGTCCGGAGTCTGGCAGCTCCCGCTGAGGCTCTCAGAGCATGGGAGGCTCTCGGAGGAAGGGGATGATGCTTCCTGCTGCTCCTGGGAACGCTTCACTGGAACAGGCTGGGCTCTCAGCTTCACTTCCAGGTTCTTTTTGGCCACGTGCATCCTCAAGGATGAGCGGTTTCTCCTCATTCGTGCAGCTCCAAGGGAGCAGCGAGATGTGTCCACAGGGTCTTCTTCGTCTGGAGTCCGGCAGCTCTCACTGGGGCTCTGGGAAGGATGGGGGCTCCCAGAGGAGCTGGAGGAGGCGCAGCAGGGCAGGTGGCCTCGCTCCAGCAGCTGCTCCAGGTCCTCCCACGACAGCTGCCACATCTCCGAGTCCCGCGGGAAGGACACCCCGGGCCACAGCGGCGTCACCAGGTCCTGCAGCTCCCGGGCCGCCGTGGCACAGGGGGTGCAGCCGGGGCCGCAGCCGCAGGGGATGTACAGGGGGCTCCCGGGGGCAGCCGGGCCCTGGGGAGGGCTCTCCTCAGCCGGGGGTGAACCCGGAGCCCCCGGGGCCGCTCGCCCGCGCCGGGATCTCCTGGCCCGGCTCCCGAGGCGCTTCCGCACCTTCCAAATGCGGGTGGCCAGCAGGACGGCCGTAGTGGCCACCAGCAGGACAAGCGTGGGGAGCAGGAAACTCATGGCTTCATCCATGTCCCATGGTGGCCGCACTGGGAGCCAGGGGGTGGTGGCACATGTCCTGCAGAGACACCGTGCTGATGTCACAGTGCTGCGGGTGGGACACCTGTGTGACGTCACAGCCCCGCCGCACCCCAGCGCTCACTCTTTTTGTGACGTCATGGCCCCAGGTCGCCCATCCCGAATCCAAACCCACGTACTGGGAAGAATATGAAACCTATCCCCATTAACCCAGTAAACCAGCCCAGCACAAAGGCTGGGAGCACATCCAGGACACTTCCAGCACCTCCTGACGCCGCTGACGGACCCTCGGGACCCTCGGGGGTGTCCCCCGCCGGCGACCCCCGCCCGGTACGGGGCTGGCAATGGGATGGGCGGCGTCTTCCTCCGGAACTAATGTTCCTGCCGAGTTTCCCGGCCGGACCACGGGCGGGGCGTGTTTGGGGACGGACCAATGGCGGCGCCCTTGCGGCACTTCCGGCGTGTGCCGGCGATGTGGCGATGGCGGCTTACGGGGCCGCTGCGGGCCGGGGGAGGTCAGGGGGGGCCTTGGCCGCGCTGCGAGGGGCCGTCCGTGACTTGTGGGGTGTTCAGAAGACCGGGGGGCCTTCCTGGGCGCCTGGGGTTGGCGGGGAGGGCTCGGGCGGGCGCTGGAAGGACTGACATCGGGAGGGTTTGTTGAGACTCCGGCTGGACTGTGGTGACTTGGGGGATCTTGAGACTGGGAAGGGGAGGCCCCGCGGGGTCCCTCCTCCCCTCCTGGCCCTGCCTGAGATCCCTCGCGCCCACAGCCATGATACCCCCGCTCTGTCCCGCAGGTCCCGGCGGCGTCGCGGTTCCCCGAGCGGGGCTCAAGAAGTTGGCGCTGCCCCCGGATTACAGCGGTGAGGGGGATGGACGGCGGGAGAACCCCGCGAGGGGTGCCGGGGCACTCCCCAGTCTGGGCCGGGAGATCCCGGTGATCCTGATGCTGGTGTTCCCCGGCAGGGATCACCATCCCGGAGAAGCCGAAGCTGAAGTTCATGGACAAGGTGCCGGCGGTGCCCAAGGTCCGGCGGGAACCCCGGCAGCTCCGTGACATCCGTGGCCCGTCCCAGGTGGCCACCGACTTCACCGAGGGGCAATTCGGGATCCTGGTGAGCGGGAACAGGCAGCGAACGGATCGTGGGGGAAGGATTCCACAGGCCGGGATTGCATGTCCCTGTTTCTAGGCAGGACATGGGGCCCTCCATCTCCGTGTCCCTGAGCTGTCCCTCCCTGTCCCCCCACAGGCTTTGGGCGGGGGTTACCTGCACTGGGGCCACTTTGAGATGATCCGCCTGACCATCGGCCGCAGCATCGATCCCAAAAACATGTTCGCCGTGTGGCGCGTGCCCGCCCCCTCCAAGCCGGTGACACGGAAAAGTCTGGGACACCGGATGGGGGGCGGGAAGGGCCCCATCGATCGCTACGTGACAGCGGTGAAGAGCGGGAGGCTGGTGGTGGAGGTGGGCGGGCGCTGTGAATTCGGGGAGGTCCAGCCCTTCCTGGCTCGCGTGGCCCACAAATTGCCCTTCCCGGCTGTGCCCGTCAGCCGGGAGAGCCTTCAGGAGATGCGGCGGGAAGAGGAGAAGAAGAGGCTGGACAACCAAAATCCCTGGACTTTCGAGCGTGTGGTGACCTCCAATATGTTGGGGATGAGGAAATACCTGAGCCCCTATGACCTGCAGTTCAAGGGACGCTACTGGGGCAAGTTTTTCCTGAAGCACAGAGTGTGAAGAGCAGTTGGATTGGATTCCTTTTGGAATTAAACTTTTCCATGAGAGCCTGGAGTGGGTTTTAGGCTGGAGCATCCTCAGTCATGGGATGACTCCGTACATGGGTCAGGGTTTGAGGGATGAGGATCTTTATGCCAAGGTGGGGTTTGGAGCTGGAAACATGGAACTGGGGGATAAATGGATTGGGGTTTGAAGCACAAGGCTCTCTATCCTGAAGTGGATTTTAGAGCTGGGAGCATCTTGAGGGATCCACGGATCAGTTTGGAGCCAGGAGGCAGAGTGTGGGTGAGCTCTTTATTGAGGAGGAAGGCTCCAGCATGGGTGGCTGCACATCCAAGGAGCTCCAAGCACAGGGAGGGGCTCCTCTGGCTGCCTTGGCAAGGCAAAGCCCTGTGTCCCCCTCCCCAAGAGGGACACGGCCCCTCCGGCCGCTCCATGCCACTGAGGAGGGGCTGCTTGTCACAGCGGCCACCAACTGTCACCCGAGTGGAGGAGGAGGAGGAGCGAGGGGACCTTGGCGCTGGGAGGGGAGCAGGGAGTGATGTAGGTGGGCTCCACTCCTCCAGGGATACGTGGGATGTCCTCGGGGCTCCGGGAATCAGGGCTTGGCTGAGGTCTCTCCGATGGATCATCCGGGCAGGGGGGCAGGAGGGGGAAAGGCCACCTGTGACAGGGAGGAAGATAAGGTGACACTCAGGAAGGGGATGTGGCTCCCAGTGCTGTCACCATCCCCATCCCTCTCCAGCGTGGCAGCCTGGGGACACTCAGGGTGAATCCAACCCTGGCAAGGCCCAAACCTGCTCCCTGGGATTGGGAGGGTACCAGGGACCCTCTGTGCCACCCCCAGCCCTGTCCCTGTCACCTGGAGGGCAGCAGGTTAGGGGCTCAGGCAAAGATGCTCGCGATGCTGGATGCCAGGATGATGACGAGGATGATGCAGCACAACATGATCATGATCTTCTTCTGCTCGGGGAGACAGGGAATGTGAGGCAGGAACACAGCTGGGGAGGGGGACAGGGACAGGGCATGGGCTGGGGAGTGGGACAGGGGATAAGGATGGGACTGGGGAGGGGGACAAGGAATGGGGAGGGGGACAACGAGGGTAGGGGCTGCAGAGTGGGGAGAAAGGACAAAGATAGGGCAAGGGACAAGGACAGGGGCTGGGGACGGGACAGGGAAGGTGGCAGGGCAGGTGTGAGCTGGTTCTCTGTAGCACAGGGAGGTGACAGTGCCAGCGTGCCCTGGGACAGATGGCCAAACACTGTGACTTACCCAAAAACTTGGTGGGGGGGGTACAGTATGGACAGGACCCGGGAGTTGGGAGTGTCCCCAGCCCCGTGCTTCCCCCTCGTGTCCTACAGCACCGGGAAACGGAGCCAGTCCAGCCCCCAAATCCCCGGACACCGGGAGCCAAGCCAGAGCCATGCCGGTGGCTTCGGGTGTTCCCGGTGCCAGCACAGAGAGGAAGCGCAGGGCGGGATCAGCGGGATTTTATTACAACGGGAGTTAAATATCCATGATCAACACATCCTCCCGCCCCGACATCGAAGCCAAGAGGGGACAGGCACCCCTGTCCGTCTGTCACAGCACGGGGACAACAAACCACGCTGGTGCCACCAAACCCCCTGTCCTGTCCCTATTCCCGCCCTCATTCCACCGGGATATCCGCGCAGGTGAGCGTCTGGCCCTGGGATTTGCGTCCTTGTCACCCCTCGCTGGGGGTGAGGCAGCAGTGGCCGCGTCCCCACGGACGGAATCCTGTCCCCTTCCGTGGGGACATGAGGGACAGATCCCAGGGAGCGGCAGGACGGGCGGAAAAGGCGGCGGTGCTGGACCCCGCGGCGGGAACCGGGACACGGAGGGCTGGGAGCAGCAGGTCCGGGAGGAGCAGGGAGAGGAGGGGTCCAGGATCAGTGCCGGGGACATCGCTGGGATGGTCGGGAGCGTCTGGAGGAGGGAAAGGGGAGCTGGAGGCGCCGGCGGGGAAGGGGACAGGGACTGCAGCAGGAAGAAGGGAGCAGGGATAGCAAGAAATGGATGTGGGGAAGAGACAAAATCCAGAGCCTGGAGCAACACGGACCGCCGAGGAACGCAGACCCTCGAGCAACAGAGACCCTCAAGCACTGCAAACCCCCAAAAATGCAGACCCCCAAACAGCACAGACCCCTGAGCACCATAAACCCCTGAACATCACAGATGCCTGAGCACTGCAGATCCCCCGAAACACAGACCCCAGAGCACCATGGGCCCCCAAACATTGCAGACCCCCAAGCAGTGCAGCCCCTCAACAACCCCAGCACCGCAGACCCGAGATCACCAAACCCAGAACCCAGCACCCCTGGCCCCATAACAGCCCCAAATCCCAAAGCAACAGAGCCCCCCAAGCAGGAGGTGACATTGGGATCGCCCAGGGCTCTGTATCCCCGCAGTGGGGGTCCCCTGCCCCCCCCAACACTTACAGACCCCCGCCCCAGGGGCTATTTCTTGTTCAGCCCCACCGAGAGTCCAATGATCAGGGCAACTGTCCCCAGCAAGAGCATGGCCACTGCCACCAAAATCAGCAGCTTCTGGGGGAACAGGGGCAAGTCGGGGGTGGGGACACCTGTCCCGTGTGGGGAGGACACGGGGGCACCGAGGGGCCTTGAAGAGCCAGGGGTGCTGCAAAGCCCTGGGGATGGGGCAGGAGGGGCTGAGTCCTCACCAGCTCATCAACCTGAAGATGGGAGGGCGCTCAGGGCTGGCAGTGGGACAGAGAGGGACAGAGCTGCCAACCTCCCATGGGGTCACTGAGGGGAGGTGGGAGTTATTGGGGTCAGCTGGGGGATATGAGGGGTGGCTGAAGGGGACAGGAGGTGGCTGAGGAAAATAAAGCGATCTCAGGGCTGCTGGAGGATGAGGAGGTTCTGGGAATACTGTGAGATGTGAAGGCACAATGAGGGCCAGAGGAGGACACTGGGGATATCTCTGGGATGCTGGGAACTACAGAGGGGACTTTGGGGGCTACAGAGGGGACTCTATGGGCTACGGAGGGGACATGGGGGCCATCGGTCTGTCTCACCCTCCTGGCCTCACTTTGGTACTTCACAGCCTTTTTGGTGTCGGCCACGGCCCGTTCCACGAATCCGACGGACTGGTCCATGTTGTTCTCTATGCGGTCGATCATGGCTCCCTAGGGAGCACGCAGGGGACACAGAGAGAGGGCGGGTAACACTACGAGCACCCCGGGGTGCTGGCACCCACCCACCTGGCACGCCTGACCCCAGCACCGGATTGCCTCCCTGCTCTGCTCCATGTGCTCGTCTCCACGTTATCCAGCAGCCCACCCTGGGTGAGAAGGGACAGTGTTGGTGGGGACATGGTGACACAGCCCCACAGCACGTGGCACACCTGCACACGCAGGTACTCACCTCTCCCCGGGGCACACAGCAGCTCCTCGCATGGCATGGGGGGACAGAGAGGGGCTAAGAGAGGGGACAGCACCACCACAGGGTGGGGGACACTCCTGTGTCCCCTCCAGACCACCACCACGGGGTGGTGGGTGGCTCCATGGGAACATGTGCAGTGGTCACCACCCCAGCTCATATCGCTCCGTGCCTGGATCCCCCTGTGCAGCTCCCTGGGCCACTCCATGGACCCATGCAGGTCCCTGTGACCCCACACCTGGGTCCCTGCTTGTCCCTGGTAACCCTTTGCATAGGTTCCCATATGTGGGTCCCTGCTCATCCCTGTGACCCTGTGCCCAAATCCCTGCTTGTGTCCATGTCCCCATACACAGGTCATCCCTGTGACCCCATACCCAGGTTCCTGCTTGTCCCTGCTTGTCCCCCATGCTCAGGTCCCTGTCCACAAGTCCCTGTGTCCCCATGTCTAGGTCCCTGCGCGTCCCTGTACCTGATTCTCCACCAGCATGGCGATGTCCACGAACATGTCGTGGAGCTCCTTGATGCTGCTCTCCAGGCGCACGATGTCCTTGTGCCGCCCCTCGATCTCGCTCAGTGCCTGCTTCGAGATCTGCGAGTCCATGATCTGCAAGCACAAGGGAACGTCAGCGAGGAGGCCTGGCCCTGTCACACAGCCCCTGGTGTCCCCCCCATGTCAGGGCTTACCCCCGAGGTGAAGATGGAGGGGTTCCCACTCTCCAGCATCTCCTCCAGCTCCTCGTCCGTCGTGTTCTTGCCGGCTGCGGGCACGTGGGGAGGGGCGGGAAGACGCCCCACCCAGTTTGGGGTAAATTTGGGATGCATGGTCTGACTCCACCCACTTAACTAAACTTGGTGAAATGGGAGGGGTGTGTCTGAGTCGGTTCCTCCCATTTTAGGAAAGAGGTGGGGTTTGATGCCCAGGCCTTGCCCACCCTGCCTGGGGGCTTGGTCACGCACTGATTTCCAGCTGGCGCTGGATCCGGCCCTTGCTCCGCTCCCGGAAATCCACCTGTGCCTCGTTGTACTTGGTCATGACATCCACGAACTTGCGGGACAGGACCGAGTGCTGGGGACAGGGACAGGGACAGGGACGTGAGGATGGGGACGGGGACAGAGCCTTTGGGATGGGGACCCCCTAGGGTGTGACCCCAGGGGACTGGACTTGGTCCTGGGAACGGGGACATGGAGCACCCCAGGCATGGCATATCCCCATGACCCATTTTCACAGGGGACGGGGACATGGAACACTCCAGGCATGGCATATCCTCATGAGCCATTTTCACAGGGGACAGGAGTGAGGATAGGGGTGTGACACTGCCCAGGGGACAAGATGAGGTGCTGGGGATGGGGACAGGAGGTCAGATCAGTGACACTCTGGGCATGGTGTGTTCCTGATCCCAGGATGGATAGGACAATGTGCTGGGAGTGAGGACAGTGGCATGAAACCCAGGAGACCTTAGATGTAGCATGTCTCTGCACAGGGCGACAGGACAGAGTGTTGGGGACAGGGCAGAGGGACACAAAGCCTGGGATCACAGGGTGCTGATGGGGATAGAATTGGGACACTTGGGGACCCCTGGACATTCCCAGCCCGTGGGGGACAGAGTTGGACCTGGGGACGCTGGCTGTGGACCGGAGCTCACCTGGGACTTGCGTATCCGGAGGTCAGCGGAGGATCGTGCCTCATCCTGCTCAATGTTCCTCTCCATACCTGGAGAGAGACAGACCTCAACCCATCAGGAACCTTTCCCACTGCCAGCTGCCACGATCCCAGAGTCCCAGGGGGACAGGGACACCAGTGACACGGCAATGAGGACACTCACTCTTCAGCTTGTTACGGACGCTGTTGGCCATTTTCTTGATCTCTGCCGTCAGCTGCTCCAGGTCATCTTTGGTCTCTGTGGGATCATGGGTGTGAGTCCCCAGGGAGGGTCCCCATGACCAAGGGAGGCTGTGGGGACACTGTGACAGCACTCACTCTGCTCTGGGATGGGGGCTGAGAGGATGATGCTGTAGAGTTTCTTGGCTTCCTCCACATTCTCTGAGATCTTGTCGATGTTCTGCCGGGTCTCCTCAATCTGGGCATGCCCGGGAGGATTTTTTTTGGGGGGGGTTAGGAGGCAGCCCTACCCCCCCCCCGCCAGCCCCACTCCCAGCCCTCCCTCACCTCCGAGAAGAACTCATCCATGAACGCCGTGTTGTCCACAGCGATCTCCAGCTCCTCCTCGTCATCTGCATCCTGCTTCTGTTGGGACACAGTGTTCAGGGGGGACCCCCTGCCCTGCTAGAGCCCCCCAGGCCCCCCTGGGGTGACAGGGACACAGGAGGAGTAGCCATGTGCTGGCACGGGGGCAACATCTGCAGCGGGGGAGAGCCGGGAGGGGCCAAGCCCAGCTCACATCTGGCCACACGTGGCTTGGAATTAAGAGATTGCTGGGCTTGGCCAGAAGGAGGGAACGGGGACAGTGATGGGATGGGGATGGGACAGGGTTTATGTCCCAAACTGTGGCCCCACAGCAGGTCTGGGGCAGCCCTGGGGGACACGAAGGTGGCTGGTGCCCCTCACCCTGGTGTCATGCCCAGGCCCCCACCCATGTGCTCCCAAATCCAGCCCTTCCCAAAACTCAGTCTCAGCCCTTCTGCCTCCCCTCAGCCCTCAGCTCCACTAGCACCCTGGGGGTGTTTTTGGGGTGTCCTGGAGAGAGGGATGGACCCCAGGCTGGGACCCCCCAACCCCCTCCTCCTGCTGCCAGAGTAAAAATAAAATTAATCCCTTCGCTCCCTCCTGAGGGTTTTATCTGATGGCTCCATAATCCCGGTAAATCCCTGCCAAGCCTCCCTGCCACGGCTAGGGGCCCGGCTGTGAGTTGGGGGCCTGCTGGGACCCTCACGATCCATGGGGAGCCAACACTGGGGAGCAGGGGGAGCCCCCCAGGAGTGGGGGGGAAGTGGGGCCCCATGGCAGAGCAGGAAAAGAGAGAAGGAAGTAGCGCTGGTGGCGGGAACACGGCGAAGTGTGGGGTGCAGAATGGGGTGTGGGCACCCCAAATCCATAGCCAGCCTCGCAGAATGGGCACCCCCCATAGGCTGGGTGGGGGCTGGTGTCCCCCCATTGCACCCCACGGCATGGGGGGACAGGACTCGACTGGGGGGGGGTCACGTCACCCAAAACACCCATTGTCCCCCCAAACCGCACGGGGATGACCCCCTCAGTCCCCCCACCTCACACTCCCGTTGTAGGGAGGCTCAGGGCCCCGCATCTGCCATGGTGTGAACCCCGTGACATCCCCACGCACAGCACGGTGGGGTCTCGGTGCCGTCCACCCCTGGTGTCCCTGCCCACCAGGGATTGGGGTGTCCCTGAGACCCCAGTCCACCATGGGATGGGGTCTGAGGTCCCCTCATCCTTGTGACACCCCCATGCATCGTGGGATGGTATTTCGGTGACCCCGTGACGTCCCCATCCACCACAAACCTGGTTTTTGGGGTCCCCTCTCTCCGTGATGCCCCCTCCCACCATGGGGTGGGGTCTCGGAGGCCCCCATCCCGGTGTCCCCCTTTTCCTGAGGGACCCCCTGGGGGTGTCCCCTGTCCCCTACCCACGCCAGGGGTCCCTCACCGCCTTGAGCTGCTCCAGCCGGTCCTTCATGGTGCCCCCAAAGGCTGGGGGGGCGCGGGGGGGTCCCCGTCCTCGCCCACCGCAGGGATGGGGGATGTCACCCTCGGTCCTCGCCGCTCGGCCAGGCCTCCTACATCCAGGCGAGGTGGCGGGTGGCCCTGTCCCCTGTGCCTGTCCCCAAGCCCGGGGCTGTCCCTGTGCTAATCCCCAGTGACGGGCACAAGGAAGGCGCCGAGGGGAGGGACGAGGTGGAGCCGCCCCTTCACCTGGGACACCCGGGGACACCGGACCCGCTACAGGCGGCAGCTGGGCACCCCGGGAGGTGACAGAGGTGACATGGGGAGGATGTGGGTTTGAAGGCGATGAGGAAGGTGATCCCCCACGGGAGTCACACGGCGAGGACGTGTCACAACCCTGCCGCGTGTGACTGCAGCGGGAGGACGGCTGGGGACAGGAGCACAGCTGGGGACACAGTTGTGGATGTGGGACACAGCTGGGGACATGGCTGGAGTCAGGGGACACGACTCGGAGGGACAAAGCTGTGGATGGGGGTCACATCTGGGGACACAGCTGGGGGCGGGACACAGCTATGGATTCAGGGCACAGCTGGGGGATACGGCTGGAGACGGGACATGAGCAGGAATAGGGGACAGCTTGAGGACATTGCTGCAGTTAGGGGACACAACTGAGGGTCGTGACTGGGAAGAGAGCTCACGTCTGGGGGAGACACGGCTGGGGACACGAATGGGGGACATGACTGTGGATGGGACACAGCTGGGGACAGGGCTGGGCGGGCACTGCTGGGGCTATGGATGGGGTGACATTGGCTATGGGTGGGGTGACACCAGGGGGCACGGCTGCGGGGGGGGACATGCGGGTGTCACCGCTGTGCGCGGGAGAAAAAGGGACGCTGCCCCTTTAAGAAACACATGCGGGGGCGTGGTCCATGTTGGGTGCGGTCCGCACTAGCCCCGCCCCACGCGCGCCGGCGGGCGGGACGCAGGGCGGTGGCGGCGGATGACGTCATGCGGCTGCGCCCGTGGCGGCGCATGCGCGGCGGGGCCCTGGGCCTGGTCGGGCGGCGCGGAGCCTGCGGGCGGGGGGCGCCGGCGCCGCCATGTTCCGGTACCCGGTGAGCGGGGAGGGGCCGGGGAGGGGCCGGGCGGGGGCCAGGGCGGGCGGAGCCCCGCGGGGTCTGCGGGAGAACCGCGCCGGGACGGCACCGGGGTGGTGTAACGGAGTGGGGGGGGTATAACGGGCTAGGGCGGGCAGGTAAAATGAGTTGGGGAGGGCGGTCACTGAGGGGGTCTGAGGGGCTGGAAGGGGGCTCCAGGGTGGCAGAAAGAGTCTGGGGGGCACTGGGGACCTCTAACGGGCTGGGGGACCGTATAACGGGAGGGGTCACCCTCTAGATCTGGAGGGGTCATTGGGGAGATATAACGGGTTAGGGGAATCACTGCGTAGGAATAATGGGTTGGGGGGATTTCCAGGGGTGGATAATGGGGCTGGGGGAGGTATCGCTGGTTGGGGGGGTTGTTGTACAGGTATAACAGGTTGGGGGGCTATCATGGAGGTACAGTGGAGCTGACTCTATTCCTGGCTGTCCCAGTCCCTGGAGGACTGCCCGCTGGACGAGGATGAAGATGCCTTCCAGGCCCTGGGGGAGGAGGATGAAGATATCGACCAGTTCAACGATGACACCTTCGGGGCTGGGGCCGTTGGTGAGACTCTGAGTGTCACCTCCAGATTCCCTTGACCCCACAGATCTCCCTGGCCCATGTCCCTCACCCTGTGCCCCCTCGCAGATGATGACTGGCAGGAGGCCCACGAGCGGCTGGCGGAGCTGGAGGACAAGGCCGGATCGAGCCGGGAGCCGGACGGTCCCGTTGGGAATGACGGGGACGTTCTGGGCGATCCTGAGGATGCGCTGGCCGAGCGGCTCACACGGCTCGTCATTGACAGCGAGCTGGAGGACCCGGCCATCATGCAGGCCGTGCACACCAGGGATCCCCCACAGGTGGGAACGGGCTGGGGGATGCAGGGGGATGTGGGGATGGATCCCGCAGCGCCCTCCTGACTCTCCTTGTGCTCTGCAGCAGCCTGGAGGGCTGAATTCCAGCATCTGGGACAGCTCAGCTGTGCTGCGGCGCATCCGGGGGCCGCTCCTCACTCAGGTAGGGTTCTGGGGGCAGGAGGCTCTGCCCTGGTGATCCCAAATGCCTGTGGCAGCCAGGGTGGGATAGACTGTTCCTGGAATAGCAGTGTCCCACTTCCCTCCGGCTGCATCTGTGGCTTGTGGGAGACCCTCATAGCTGTCACGCTTTGTCCTCTCTCAGACCCTGGAAGGCTGGGATGGCGGATTTTTGCTGTTCTGAGATGCCTGGTGATGTCTGAGGGATTTCAGACTCCTAGCAGGATTTGGGAATGTTGATGCCTGGAGGCAGAGGATTTTTGTGTTGTTGTGGTTTCATTAAGAGTCAGGCTTTGAAGTGCTGCGTGTCCAACCCTCTCCCAACCCTCTCCTGGCTCTGCCGGGCTGGGAGGTGACCCAGAATCCCCACCCCACGCCCTGTTATCCCGAATGGGATGCTCTTGGCAGTCATGTGTGCTCCGGGAATGCCCAGCGTCGCGTGGAGATCCCAGGGAAGTGCAGTGGGATGTGGAGAGCTGGCAGGAGGAACAGGGGACATTGACCCTCCTCCCTGTCCCAGCCTGTGACTCCAGGGGCGTGTCCCTCCCATTCCTCCCTGCAGGAGATGCCGTCAGTGTCCGTGCTGGATTATGCTCTGCCCCAGAGGCCTCCACAGGCTCGGGATGAGGAGCGGGATCCATCGGAGCGGGCGCTGCCCCGGCGTTCCTCGTCCCCCATCATTGGGAGCCCCCCGGTCCGGGCTGTTCCCATCGGCACCCCCCCCAAACAGGCCGCCATCCCAAACTTCAACCAGCAGGTACCTACTCGCTTCCCAGCTTCCCACTGCTCCCAAGGGTGCAAGCCGCTTCCCAGGCGGAGTGACTGTGCCACTTGCCTCCTCCCAGATCCTGTGTCCCAAGCCTGTCCACATCCGAGCTACCATGCAGCAGCGTTATCCCGCTCCCTATGGAGAGAGGATGTCCCCCAACCAGCTCTGCAATGTTCCGGTATCCAGCTTGCTCTCCTTTTTGGGGATTGATGACCAGCCCCCCCCAAAACCTCCCTGTGTTCCTGTGGCTCATCCCTACCCCGTGAAGCCTGCCCTTCCTGGAGTTTGTCCTGTCTGCCAGTCATGGTCTGTGACTGGGGTCCTTTTTCCCAACTCTTTCCCCAGAATTCCTCCCTCCTGGGCCACCCGTTCCCCCACAGCGTCTCTCCCGTTCTCACACACCTGCAGAGAGCCCAGCTGCTTGGAGGAGCCCAGGTAAAGCTCCTTCCTGTGCTTTATCCCACCATTCTCTCTGCGTGGCTCTGGGACTTGGCTCTCCATGGCTCTTGCTGGCCATCCCAGATCCTTTTCCCACCTGGCTGACTCCAGGTGTCCTCTCTGCTCCTCCAGGCCGGCCGAATGTCCCCCAGCCAGTTTGCCCGGGTGTCAGGGCTGGTGGGGAGCCCGCTGCCCTCTGTGAATCCCAAGCTGCTCCAGGGCAGAGTTGGGCAGATGATGTCCCCGGCCGGAGGGTTCCGTGCCTTTTTTGGGGCTCCCCCCGCCCCACCCCCCTCGCAGCTGCCGCACCCTCCAGGCCCCGGATCCCACCTGCAGAACCTGAGGTCGGTGCTGTCCCTGTCCCAGCATCCCACCCACTCCCTGCATCCCTCGCTGACAATTCCCGCTCTCCCCAGGCCGCAGCCCCAGATGTTCCGGCCGGACACGACCCATTTGCACCCCCAGCACCGCCGGCTTCTGCACCAGCGGCAGCAGCAGAACCGGAAGTAAGTGCGGGGACAGGGCCAGGGCTGCGTGACACGGGGACGTGTCCTGCTTCCGGGGTCACCTGTCCCCCCTCTCTGTCCCTTCCTGTAGCTCCGGTGTGCTCACGGGTGCCCTTCTTCTCCTGCCAGCCAGCACCGGAGCCTCAACGGCTCCGGGGGGGACCGAGGGGGCCACCGGAGCAGCCATCAGGAGCAGATCCGTAAGGATCCCTACGCCAACCTCATGCTGCAGCGGGAAAAGGACTGGGTGTCCAAGATCCAGATGATGCAGCTGCAGAGCACTGATCCCTACCTGGATGATTATTATTATCAGGTACTCGGGAGCAGGATCTTTTCCCTGTCCATTGGATGTTGGGTGGGAAGGGGATGTCAATCCAGAGAGAGACGCAGTGGATTGTTTTCCTCCCTGGAAGAGGAAGGCAGAGAGACAGGGTGGGATTATCATCCTTTCTACTTGGGCATTATTTCCAGGAGTGAGGAGATGTTAGGGTACACTGGTTTCATAGGTCTGGGATAACAGGAGAGCAGCAGTCCATCAGAAGTGTGACAGAGTCAGGATAAAACCCCTAGAATGAGACAAGGGAGATGCTAAATGGAAAATTCAAGAGAGATCCTTGGGCAGGGAAAGGGTGATTTTGGTCTGACTGAGAATGGTGGTGGTGAATCCTGTGGGAATCCAAGGAGTGCAGTGGAGAAGGTGGATAGGGAGAGATTGCTCCTGCTTTTTTTCAGTTCAGGAATAGGGACTATCAGACATTGCTGGGAAAAGCCAGACTTGGAGCAAGTGGAACAAGGTGGTGAGGGACTGTTCGAGGGTCCCCAGGGAGAGAGGGAAATGTCTGGGATGGACATTGGGAGACTGAATGGGGTGGGAGAGCTGTGGCTGTTTGGCTGTTGGGTCCACCCTCTCCTGAGCTGGCAGTTTTTTGGGCATCTGTGGGTGAGCTAGTCCCAGTAGAGAAGAGGAACTGGTGCAGGATGTGAGTCAGCAAAGCTCTGCTGTTGCGAAACTGGGGTGGATGGTTTGGAGAGGCCTCAGCATGGTGCCAGTGGAGTAAGGCAGACTAACTGGGATGTGCTGGGGAGGACTGGGAGCCCCACAAGGAAAGCAGATTTGTCATTCTCCTGAGAGAGGGCTGAGGAGGAGCCTCAATCTCTGTCATCCTGAGGGATGGGAGAGGAGGATGGACTCAGCTGTGGCCTAAATGGTGATGTTGAGAAGATGATGGAGCTGAGAAAAGGGACATGGCCAATGGTTTTTTGGGAGAAAGCTCTCAACATTTCCTCTCCCTGCCTCAGAATTACTTCCAGAAGCTGGAGAAGTTGGCAGCCGCCGAGGAAGTGCATGGTGACGGTCCCAAGAAGGAGCGCACTAAACTCATCACCCCTCAGGTGGCGAAGCTGGAACACACCTACAAGCCAGGTAAAGCCCTCCAGCAGCCCCAGGCCTCCTTTTATCCAGGGATTGAGGGGGCTCATCCCTCGGCTTCCCTGCTCCCTGCTTCCTGCAGTGCAGTTTGAGGGCTCGCTGGGAAAACTCACCGTCTCCAGTGTCAACAACCCCCGGAAGATGATTGATGCCGTGGTGACATCCCGCAGCGAGGATGATGTGAGTTCCTGGCCTTCCTCCCTTCCAACACAGCCCTGTGGCTGCTTCCCATGGCCCTGATTCCCTCTTCCCTCCCTGGCAGGAGACTAAGGAGAAGCAGGTCCGGGATAAGAGGCGACAGACCCTCGTTACCATCGAGAAGGTAAGTTTAAGGGGGATTGTCCCGACCTTCAGAGGTCCATGGTGGGATAAAAAGTGGGCCAACCCAACCCATTCTATGATTTCCTGAGTGATCCATGCTTCCTGCAGACGTATAGCCTCCTCCTGGATGTGGAGGACTATGAGCGCCGCTACCTCCTGAGCCTGGAAGGGGAGCGGCCAGCCCTGATGGGAGAGAGGAAACAGAAGATCTGTGACATGTATGACAATCTGAGGGGGAAGGCACCTGGGCAGGACAGGTGAGTGGGATTTGAAAGCTCCAGCACTCTGGGACCACTGAAACCGGTTTTCCGTGGATCTCTTTGACTCTTGCAGGGGGCTGAAGTAACCTTTTTTCAGCCATTTCACCCTCACCGTGGTTACAAAGCCACAACTTCCATCCCCTCCAACTGGCAGAGTTTAGGATTAGGGATGTCATTCCTGTGTAGTTTCTCCCTCCTCAGAGAGGTTTTTTTGAGGCATGGGTGTGTTTTCCACCTGGTGCTGGGGCAGATCCAGCCATGGGGTAACCCTGGGATGCTCCCAGGTGAGGGTTGACACATTTCTCCCTTTCTCCTCAGGCCGAGCGATGACCACTTCATGCAGATCATGTGCATCCGGAAAGGAAAGCGCCTTGTGGCCCGGATCCTTCCCTTCCTGGCTCCAGAGCAAGCGGCTGACGTGCTCATGGCCACAGCCAGGAACCTGCCCTTCCTCATCAAGAAGGATGCTCAGGATGAGGTGAGGTTCCAGAGGCTGGGAGGGCTCCATGTGTCTTCAGGATGGCCATTCCTAGCTTTCCTGAAAGGATGCCAGAGATTTGGAAGGGTTTTGTGGGAGAAGCTGTTTGCAATTCCAGTCAGGCACAGGGAAGCATGTGGGGCTCCTAACTGTGTTCCTTTCTCCACAGGTGCTTCCCTGCCTCTTGAGGCCCTTTTCCCACGTTCTCTATCACCTTCCCTTGGGAACAGTCACCAGCCTTGTGCAGCAGCTCACAAACCTACCTCAGAGCGCCGCCGCTCCCACCAACCTGCACCTCACTGCTGTGCTCCAAAACAAGGTGCCCCTCATCCCCACCCCTTCCCAGCCTCGGGAATTGCCCCAGCAGCCTCCCACCACTGGGGTGTTACCCTCGCTAATTAACGAGGGTGTCTGGCACATTAATTAATGATCTGAGGTGGCCCCGGGCTCTGCTTCAGCCTAGCAGCAGCTTTTGGGTCTGTCCCCCTGCACTCCATGCTCCAGTCCTGGAATTTGCCATGGGAATGTTTCCCCAGTAAGTCCCTTCTAGGCTGGGAGTGGTCTATGGTCTTTTCCTCCTCCTCCTGCAAAGGCAGCCAGGGATCTTCCTGCCTGTGCCAGCATTCCAGGAGGGTTGGGAAGTGTTGGAGATTCTCCCGGGGAATGCTTGGAGGTGACAGATCCCCTCCGTGTCCCCACAGTTCGGTCTGTCCCTGCTGTACCTGGTCCTGAGCCGAGGGGAGGAATTGCAGAGCTCAGACACGAACACAGAGCTGATGCAGGACAACCAATGGTGAGTCCCTGTCTCGGGCTGGGGTGCTCCTGCCTGGAATGTCACCACATTCCCAGGCCCTTGGGGAGGAAAAGGCAGCCTCCAGGCTCCCAGAACCCCCACATCTCTCACTGCTCCCTTCTCCCGTTTTTCCGGCAGGACGGAGCTGATGCTGATGGCGACCCGGGAGCTCCTGCGAATTCCTCAGGCAGCCTTGGCAAAGCCCGTGTCCATCCCCTCCAACTTGATCTCCCTCTTCTCTCGCTATGTTGACCAGCAGAAGCTGAACCTGCTGGAGACAAAATTGCAGTGAGTGCCAGCCCTCTTTTCCCATGGGAATGTGGCCCTGTTCTACCACGGGACTGGAAGAAGGGGGAAACCAGAGGTGGGGGTGCAGCTGGAGAAGGATTGGAGTGGGGAAAAGCAGCCTGGGGAGAGAGGAATCACTGCCTCCCTCTGATCTCACTGCTGTTGTTCCAGCTTAGTGCAGGGGATCCGGTAGATCTCCGTGGCTCCTTGCCACCACCAGAATGTTCCAGAGGAAGGATGGAAGGAAGAAAGGATGGATGGAGGGCACACGGTTCACCCCACATCTCCCCCGACGCCCGGCCTGGCACATGGGGCACATCTGCCCCCCAGTCCCTGGATCAGCAGGAAGAGGGGAATGTTTGGCTGCTTCCCACTTCCCCACAAAGTGCTGCCTTCCCCTACTGCTCCCAATTTCACCCTGACTCTCTCTGCACCCCCAAAAACTGCTGCTTCCCCCCCAAACACACACACACACACACACACACACACACACACACACACACACACACACACACACACACACACACACACACTACTGAGGATCCC